TTTGAAGGGTTCGATGAGAGCGGCAACAAATGCCGCGTGAAAGGCTCAATGGCCGATGTTCACAAGCCATTGATTTCAGCGTCCAAGTGCTTAGGCTTTGGAAGGATTGCAGTTCTTGATGTGAATGGCGGAAACTTGATTCCGCAAGGGTCCAAAGTTGGAAAGGCTGTTCAGGCGATCCTGAAGAAAGCGAGCGCTGCAGAGCAGCGAAGTTGGATCCCTGTGTATCAAGAGCAGGGAGTGTACAATTTCTACTTGAGAAAGCCAGGGTATAAACCGACCAAGGAATGCTGTGGCATTGCAGAGTTGAACGCCGCAGGAGAAAGAGGAGATGCCTCTATGGATTCAGGCCGACCTGGTCCAGAGGGGCGAGAAGAGGATGATGAGTTGGAATTAGTTGATGAGGTTGAGAAACCCATCCAGATAAGAGCACCGGAGGATCCAACTCCGGCTGAGATCGAAGAGCACGAGGCGACAGGCCATGTGCAGTATCGAAATTGGTGCCGGCATTGCATTGCCGGACGGGCTGTAGGACAGCCGCATCGGACGAGGTCCGAGGAACAGAAGGCAAAGAGCCTTGTGCCCACAGTGGCAATGGACTATAAGTTAATTTCGTGGTAACTGGCTGTGAATTTCTAGCAACCAGCTGTCTATGTGCTGGATAATATGCTCAGCTACCAAGACCCAAAACATAGCAAAACAATCATACCAAGACTTGGGATCATGACATTGGCACTGTTTGCCATTGATGTGATATACTTTGTCGTTGTCTGGAAAAAATGGCTGTGCCAGAGGGCCTTGTTTTGTACTCTGGCTGGTGGGGAAACTCGAAGTTGTTTAGTTTTTTGAAGAAGAAACATTGCACAGAGGTGGTTTGTTTGTACCCACACGCACACAAGACACGTAGTGCAAATATAACACATAGCTTGTCAGCACAGGTAGCTGACACAACATTCAGCAAGGAACCAGTGAACCAGTGAACCTTTGTCATGAAACATGTTTCGATCCAATAGTTCGAGACGAACGTTTTTTTCCACATCTCTTGAGTCTTGGTCCTATAGGCCTCCCTGAGGCATCACATCTAAAAGCCATGTGCGAAGTCACACACAGCGATCCTTTGAATTGCACAGTGATTCATGTTGAATCTGCAAACCCCATAAGACATACCACATCCGCATAGATCTCACTTCGGCTTAAAGACTCACATTTGGAGCCCCTGCCGGCCACCCAAAATGTTGGCCCTTGCTTCAGAATTGCTCCATGCCAAATTGGCATTAGCGATGTTGCTGCCCGGGTTCTCTGCCATGTACTGCCGAACCTGATTATTGTTTTGTTGGGTATATGTTGCTGTTGAATTCAAAAATGCACAATGACATAAAAGAAATAAAAGTGATATAAAAATGATTGCATCCTAAGAAACAAAATCCCAGCGAGCTGTGTGCATCACCGAAGGAGGCTTAGAAGGCTTAGAAGCTTCGGATTTGGCCTTCTTGGTCTTGTTGGACTTCTCATCCTTGGAACCATCCTTGGACTTCTTGGAGTTGTCAGACTCCACATCATTCTCGCCACGCAGAACCTCATTTGCGTTGTTGGGTTCAATGGTGCCTTCTACCGTTAAAATACTGTATAGAGAGGCACCCACCCCTCCCACACACAAAACAAAAAACTAGCATGCTTCTGAATAACACCCTTGGACTTGTAGTTGCGATGCCACTCCCGAGAAGTGATTCGTTTGCGTTCCATTTTTTCCTGCTCGGTCATGACCTTCTTTTGTGATGGTTCATCAGTGTTTTCCTCACAGCATCCAGCAATGTGACACGCCCACCGCTGATTTTGAAACCACACGATCAAAACATACAAAATTATCATGAAACATAACGAGTATCCATATCCATCACATCCGGAGTTTGGTGAGCTTTACGCTTCATACCACCCGTCGCTGGTACCTCCACATCCACTTGTCCATGTTCATCAGGTTTTGCACCAGTGTCGATCGTGCCGCTGTTCGCCTCAGAAGATGTAGGAACTGCCGATTTCCCAGCATTGTTTGATCCATCCTCATCATGTGTCTCCTCACATAGGATGTGTTTATAGGAAACAAAATATATGATGTTCAAACATATCTTCAAATAACATCTCAACAATTTAAATCACAACAAAATGTGTATTTGTCTTGAAAACACAGCAAAGTGTCCAAAACTGGGCCCTCAGGAGAAGAGATGTATCCATCCCAGAAGCCACAACAACCATCCCAAGAGCTTTGTCTCCTTTTTTGGGCCTGCCTCTCCTTGAGCTGGTTGGGGTCAAAGACGAACTTGGACACAACCTTGTGAGGGCTGGTCTCCGGGATGATGGATGGAGCATCAAAATTTGCCTTGGTCTCTTCAAGAGCTGGGTGCAAAGGAGTCCTTTTGTCTTCTGGAGTGAAATCGGGCCCATCGAACTGACTGTCCTCAACGTCTAGCTTCTGAGAAAGGTCTCGCTGAAGCGCCATGTCATCAAGAGCTGTCCAACCCTTGTCAAAGTACTCATAGGGCTGTCCCGACGAAGTAGGAGACTCAGGGAACAAACATCGTGTAACATCTGTTGAGCTTTTTCCCCGCCGCAATGGCCGAGCAATGTTTTCCGGTACCGCCTGAATCAGCAAAAGGGCCCCAAGTTGTTCAATGCAACAGCAACAAACTACTCCTACACTGTCCTACACAAGAACAAACAAAAAAAGGGTTAAACAAATTGCTGAGATAATTTGTTCCTAGCTTCTGGTACTGGATGGGCACGCAGCATGAATTTATCTAAGGCTGCGCTTGCCTTGAAAGCACATACTGGCTCCAGGTCATCAAACACAGGAATCTTAGAAACACGTGCTGAGCATGGACCTTCACCTGTACTTGTTGGCAGCTTGGCTGTCGTAGCGCTGGAAGCCATACCCTCATCCTTCTGGACCTGCTTTTGCAAGTGCTTGTCGATGAGCTGTTGGTCAATCTGTGACTCATTTACATCCACAGCAATAGCACTCGAAGTCATGGCCAAGAGACGAGTGTAGAGCAAATCAAAAGCTTAAGGGCTTCAAATGGCTTTTGTGCAACAAATGTGACATAAGAACAGTTTCTCAACACATTGGAAACCCACACATGAACAAACATCAAAACTCGTGCAGAAACGAGGTGGACATCATAGTGATCATACGCAGCAAATTCTTTTCCCCCATGGTATGGTCTTTGGAAAGCAAAACCTGACTACTGGCTACTGGCACTTCATCACAAAATGTGATAGCAGTAGCGCAAGTCACCCGCTCTTTATGTCTCATCACTACACGATCTGGTAGTGAGTCCCTTTCTCCATTTGAAAGCCATTCCCCTTCACGTACCACAGAGGTTTGGCAGGGCCCAGGATCTTCTCGCGAGAGTAGTGCCTCATACCTAAAGAGCATAACAAAAAAGATAAATGGGATAAAGTAAAGACATAAAGTAAAGAGAATGGGATACATAAAAACCATCAAATAATTGGCAGATGAGCTTCGCCACACCAGGGTCAAATATTGAGATGCACTCAATGCCTTGTATCCGATATGGCCAGCCGCATTGGTCTGCTTGAGGGATTTCACCTGGACCTGTGTTGGTCGAAACACGCTGTAAGACTCGTGCTGCACATCGATCCTGTCTGTGGACTCGCCGCGCTTCACTTCAACTGGGCGATCCACTTTATGGCCTGTGACCTTCAGGTCTAGCAGCCCCCGCTTCTCCATGCTGACGATGAGTGCAAACAATGACATAGGAGCTGAATCTGAGGTGCCCTGAGTGCCTTGTTCTTCTAGAAGAACCTCAATGAGATTAGCATGTCAAATTATACAAAAACCTTGACAACAAATGACCCTTTCTTTAAACATAATACCAATACCAACCCAAATCTTCTTAACTGAATGAAGTCTTCGGAACTTTGGATTCGCCTGTCTCCAAGCGGAACTCGACAGCCTTGTTCTCATTCTCTGACTTTGACAAGAAATCCCGGGCCTGCACAAGAACGCAACCCACCCAAGGAATTAACAAAAAGCTAAACACGACTTTGTTCAACACTTGGCCTTTGCGGTGTCGCCAATCCAGCTTCCGCCAGCATATAGGAAAATTGGGGAGGGATTGGTGGCCGCAATGCCCACCATGCGGGTCGTGGAATCTGAAACCACGAAGCACTTCCCATCCACATAGTGACACAAGATGTTTTGGCCAGCCATGGTCAGAGTGAAGGTGGCAGCAACAGAAGGATAATTCTTTTCGAATTGTTCTTTCGTCATCCCTGGTGGCGTTGGACAATCAGCAGCAGCAGCAGTCGAGCAAGTGTCCTTCTCGACGCCCAAATCGGTTTCAGCTGCAGCTGAAGTTGGCACAGGGGCAGGTCCACCATCTGGGACTGGGCGGAAAATGTCATCGAAGTTCTTCAATCTGATTCGCCAATCCGGACCTTAGATAATTTAATGAAGTTTCCCCAACAAAAACACCAAAAAGGAGGATGCCTTCAATAAAAGGAAAACACGTTTGTAAAGTCAAACTACAAAACACAAAGCACGTTTAGCTTGGTAACTCCTCACAGGGTCTTGCAACCATTTCTCTCGCACGGGCTTGGGCAGCTGTAGGTGGCCACTCTCATTCATGGTGCATAATTTCAGGGAAGGAACCTTTGGTTGACCAAACTCTGTGAGATCTGCCTCCTTCATAAACTTTGGTGTCATTTGCCCAATGAGACCTGAACCAAGCTTCCATTCCTGCGAGAGCCAAGTAAATGAAACATTTTATACATACTGTATCATATTGTATATTTAAGTTAGATGTTGTGTTGGAAAAATGAACAAGATTTCAACAGTTGTTCAACCAAAGTCACTTGCCTCTAGCAGCTTATCCTTCACGCTGGTCAAAGCGAACTCATAAATGGTCGGGCAATGACACTGTGAGTGCAGTCCCAAGTAGACTGAATCCTTGAGCTCGGTCATCAGATCCAGCACAACCTGGTCATGGGAATTTAATCTTGTTCCAACAAGCTGAAACCTCAAATTTTGACCACCTTGCCTTCTCGAGGTTTCCATCGTAGGCAGTGAAGTGATGAATGATGCAGGTCTGGGATTTCATCGACGAAACCCGGCTCATGCAACTTTCAATTATCGACTTGAGCGTTGCTGGAGCTGCCACCCACTGAGCCGTTTCTTCTTTGTCCTGGGCATCAAAATTGTGCATGTGGAAGCAAACACCGGGGTTTGCAAAAAATGGCTAGGTTAGTTGAGCTTCTGTTGGGCTGCGGCCTTGTTCATGGGTAAAGAACGTGCCACTCTCGGGAGTGACATATTCACCTCACCCAAGACAGACAAGAGACTCTCATAAAACAACATACAAAGTAAACATGGGGCCAATAGGTCTTAAGCAAACAAAAACAACATGTTTGACTGTCTTGGTCCAAGTTGCTTGGCTGGAGTGGTGCAGTGGCCCTACACCCAAGGTATGACCACATGTCGTTCTTGCAAAACATGTTGGAATCAGCCAATGGACGGTCTGACGAAACGAGGTGCCTTGAAGAGGGTACCTTGTTTTGCACCTAAGGTACTTTCCAAAACGATCATCCATCCAGGAAGATGTGCAGGAAAACTCCTTCAGGAGCCGAGAAGAAAGTAAGAACAACTGTAACTGCTTACCTCTTTTTTTTTGGAAAGAACCACCAGAACCACCTGTCCTGTTGCCATGGAGCTGGGAAAGGTCGAACGGAACTTGGATCATCTTGCATTCCAATCCACTGTCCACAAACTTGTCTTCGATTCGCCTCATCTCTCCTCTGAGTCCGCCAAGTACTCGCTCGCGAGCAAAGGTGCGATTGCAATCACCATACCTGTTTCTACACACAATATACACTTCTTAAAACAACACTTCTACAACAGTCTTTACTTTATAACAAAAATATACAATAAAAATAGATTGATCAGACATGAATGGCTATAGTCTTCGTTGGCCATCAAAACCTGTTTTGCCCAATCAACCGCTGCATTGATGTCAATCATGGTCAGCCGGCCAAACTTGCTGAAATCCAAGAAGCCGATGTGGTGCATCTTGCCAATCTCTGTAGGGGCACCGAAACGATTCGTAGCGTCAGTGATGATGCGCCTTTGCAACGCTGGCAAGCTGCCCTGATTCTTGTCACCCACAATCATCATGGCGCGTTTTGTCATGAAGGAATTGACCACTTCCATGCCCACCGAGATTTGGTCTCGCATGTGCAAAACCTGGTTTAAGCTTTATGAGCAAAATTGAGCACATATATATACACACACACTGGCAATTGAACTTTCTAACAGGCCAAATAAACATTTGTTAGTAAAAACTGAGAAACCTCAGCCACATGTCTGCTCCCGTCAACCTTGTTTTTCCTCAGGTTGTAAGACACGGCTTCCTTGAAGTCGTGCGACAGGTTGGTCACGACAACTTGGTATTCAGCAGCCTTTAGCTGCTCCTCGAGGTTTGGGCTTACCAGATTGGGAATGGCAAAGTTTGAGATTAGAAGGTAACCCAAATAGAAACATATATATATATATCATAACCACAAATCCCCTCCTCAGCATCCTCGACCTCTGCCACATCTGGTCCTGCGCTACCTGGAGCTCCTCTTGCCAATTCTCGCCCAACATAGTCTTGCCATATGGCTAGGGATTCCACATTCAAGCGGGCGGGCTTGCTCAGGAGGATAGCTTCAAGATCTTGCACATAGTCCCTCAGTTTTCATGTGCACCACAGGTTTCCTTTTTGCAAAGCCGCAACTCTTATCAAAAAATGACTTTACTTGCATATATATATATATATATTTGAAAAGAGTACCAACTCTTCCAAGCATCCCCCTCAAGAAGCCATTGACCATGTTTTCAATCATGGGCTCAGTCACCTTCAAGTTTGTTACATACCACTGGGAAAGGAAGACACAACACAACTATATATATATACTATATTCCTTTTTGAGAGGACAACAATCGAAAACAAAAACACACAAAAACACACAAAACATAGTGGGGTCTATTTGCAAAGTCGGGTTTCCTTCGGGTCCTTGGAAGCTTCTGCAATGGCCCACGTCACTAGGCATGCACTGTCAACACTGCGCTGCCAAACTTCTTCACCCCACCTCAGTCTTGCCCGCAAATTCTTTTTCATGCGCCTTGAGTTCATTGCCCACCAGTAGTTGTAGCGCTTGAAGTGTAGAATCTGGGATTCTTTCGTGACCTTGTGGTGGTTTTCTTGTCTCGGAGTATTACTCATGTTCATAAAAGTGTTACTGTAAAAACATGCATACTGGACAGGAACAAGTGACAGTCAAGCGTTCAATCCATGAAGCTGGAGTTCCCCGGGGCACTGAGTTGAGCTGATGTCGTTTGCTTCTCAGAATGGACTCGTTGTATCCTCACAACGGACACGACAAACATAATTTTACAAAAACAGAAAATCTTGAGACTGAAACTAAAGCAGAGTCTATCACAGCTTGTTTTGAGACAGTCAAGTAGCCGGACTCTTCATACTTGTTAAAGTCCAAATGTTGTCTCACAAGAGCTCTCGCTTCACTGCACATGCCGGTGATAATTCCCAAGATAGCGCTTTGTTGATCACCGTTGACCTGCCACCGCTTCAAAGCAGCATTTGCTTTGTAAGAGTTATATCTCGAAATCAATGATGATAATAGTTCCTCGTCGTTGACATCTTTGTACTCCTCAAGTCGCCTCCTCTCACTGATCATTTGTTCGAAGCGAGCAGCTAGCTTCATCACCTAGAGTTGATGTAGAAAGGAATGGCACACATACTCTTTTTCTAGAAAAAATCAAGCATTGTGGTACAACTGAAATATTTGGCTTTGCCAAGTAGCATCTTTTCGCTGCCGTTCAGCCCCTTGTGTGCTCAATTGTATGTTCTCGAATGAGATGCACTCAGCGTCTTGCTTTGCACTGATGCTGCATGGCAGGTTGAACAGACCACCAATGGCTGGGATCAAAGGAAGAATGAGGTCCTTTAAGGGGGGGTTCAGCATCCAAATCAAACACCAAAAAGTTCAATAGGTTGATTTTTGCCAGAACATCTCCTTGGCGACGATCGGGTCAAGGTCACTAGCAATGATCAGCAGCATCAAAGGAGCCATCCTTTGAGAGCTGTATGCTGTCTTAAATTCAAAAGACTCTCACAACTAACACACACAAACCAAAAATTTGGGCATAGACAAGTCTCAATCGAGTGAACCCTTTCTTCAAGTGAAAGGTCTTGGTGCCATCCTCTGCCTCACTGAAATTCACATCCAGTGGCTCCCGGTGCAGCCGGGAGCCAGAGAACAAGTACGAAATGCAGGTCGTGGTAAAGTCACCAATGCATGGAAGTCCATCTGGAGGTGGCTTCAGCGTCAATGAACTGAGTGGGAGGTTGCTGACCATGTGCTCTGTATCGCTCAAAGATGACACATCCTCAAAAAAGAACACTCAGTCCTGAAACATGTTTCATGTGTGTGTGTTTTTGCCATCACATTAACACATAAGACTAAACAACACTGATCAATTCATACGAGAAACTGGCACGACTGCGTGTTCAAACTTTTTCCCATGAATTTTGTGAATATCTTGGAGGAACTGTAAGAGCTTCTCACATGTTGCTGCGGCAGAGTCTGGTGTCTTGAATGAGTTGACAACGAAGGTCAAAGGGTGCACAGTGGGCTGTGCACTCGCATCTAGTCCATCTGATGCGTCTGTGAACTGGGATAGAAACTCAAGAATCTCCTTGACCCAACAACTACAAAGAATGAACATTGAGCGTACAAAGAAACAAACAACTCTTTCAGAAACATATTGCTGTCAAAACCCTGACACCAATGCTGCCAATGCTGCTTAGCGACTCTCACCAATGTAACATCTCCTGGTAGCTTAGAAAGGCCTGCCTGCCATTCTGACTTGCGCCGCTTTGCTGAGTTCTCCTCACACACACATATATATAGTTCAAACAGCCATTGACCTGTTGAACCTGTTTTAGAAAATCTCTATACAATATGTTATATTCTAGATTACACATGCGTGCTAATTGCTGCCCAAGGACAAGGACATGCTCGCTTTTAGCTTTGACCTTCGTCTCTTCAGTCTTGGTCGACTCAGACTTTGGCTGCAAGGATGCTGCTTCCACCATTGCTTTGAGCATCGGTGACTCCATCATATTGAGTGAACACACAAAAATCTTGACTTAGTGTTTCTGTGTCCTTCCGCCAATATTCAAGCAAAAATCCTTTCCATGTGGAATTGAAAGGTTGGAGCCAGACAATGGTGGCTGGGGAGGAGAAAAATCGTCGTGGGTGAGGGTTGGGACCAGGGAAGTCGTCGTGGGTGAGGGTTGGGGACCAGGGAAGTCGTCGTGGGTGAGGGTTGGGACCAGGGAAGTCGTCGTGGGTGAGGGTTGGGGACCAGGGAAGTCGTCGTGGGTGAGGGTTGGGGACCAGGGAAGTCGTCGTGGCTCGGCAGCCGACCCACAAAGAAAATCTATGAGCAAAACCTCGTATTCCTATCGGACCCCCAACGAAAATTCTCGCGCTAGCTCCTATCAAAGTCTTTGTGGTTCGGCTGCCGACCCACAAAGACTTATGTAGGGGCTAGCTCTACCCACAACGAAATCAAGATTTTCAGAAAAGTTACTTTTCGTTGTGGGTAGAGCTAGCCCCTATATGAATCGTCGTTGGTCGGCAGCCGAACCACAACGAAAATTTGCGCGCTAGCTCTCATCAAAGTCGTCGTGGGTCTGATAGGTTTTGACGCGCAATTTGATTGTCATCAAAACCTTTTCCCATCGCACAGCATGAATGCGGAACCTCTGATTTGTCCAGAAAGGCTTTGCACACGTGGTCACGTATGAAAGTGAATTTCCAAATTCATTTGCACTCAACCTCACAACGTGAGGCATGACTGCAGCATTCTTTGCTAGTTGAACTGAAGACTTCACCACCTCAGAAAAGACAACAGGTGGTGCAAGTTAATTGAACGTTTATGTGGTTTTGAACAGTTGCTCAAGCACATGGACGAAAGCTTGCTCAGCTACCTGAATCTCGCTGGTACTGGTACTCTGATTTTTTTCCAGGTGAGCCTGTTTGCGAATGGTTCTGTTATGTTCTGCTAAAGTCATCCCTTAGGGACAACTGTGAAGTGGTATAGGTCCCTCAATTGGGTACAACTGCGAAGTGGAATAGTTCATAACAGATCGCTTCCTATAAAATGACATGTATTTGACCTTTGTCAACAAAAGGGGTGAAGAAGAAAATTGATTTCTGCCAACTGTGCCTGGGAATAGAACAGCTAATGTCATCTTCCACGTCGCCAAATTGCCCTCAGCGGCACGCTGGGGCACAATACAGCAACAACGCACGGATGGGGTTCTTCGCGGGCACGAGGCATCACTTGTGGAGGAGCCACTGATTCTAGAAACGGTAAAGGATGCAGTGCATGTTGCGGCAACCGATTGTCAGCCAACAGCCTGAGATACCTTGCTGCTTGTGCACTTGCTGGAGATCCTCCAAGTAAATTCTCAAATTTTGCTGCGACCTCACGCCACCCATCCCTCACTTGATCTGCCAAAGGTCTTGGTGGCATCTCGCCTGGGTTTGTATTGTTTGTGCTGCTTAGTCTTTGGCTTTAAGCATTTGGTGAACAAGGGGCAAATGTCAGTATGTGCACTTTTGGTTGGACAGGGAACATGCTACAACCTGCACATTAATTCGCTGAACCGAGCAACGGGATGTTGTAAGAGGGAAGGTTGCTTTGCTTTCAGCTGTTAAGGCAAGTAGTGGCCTTTGCCTCAACTCCGTGCTACTGATGTACTCCTTCACCAACACAAAAACATCTTCTGGCTTTTTCTCCCTGTTCCTCTTGGAGCCCTCGTCCGTCTCCAAGCTTGCCGGCAAATCTGGCAGGGGATTGGATCGATTCTATTCTTGAACCCAAACACGTGCTACAAAAAGAATCGATTCCTAGCAACAGTGTTTGACTTCTGAACCGATTTTTGAAACACCCCACCTTTCCTTTGCATGAAAAGGAAGAAATGATTTGCTGTTTCGTCGAGGAGCAGCCCCCCTGCCTGGGTGGTAGAAGTACAATTTAAAACCATGACAACAACTCCAGGCTTTCACGAGAAGGACACCAACGGAGTGATCTACACAAGAAAAAAGGGTGCTTTGAAGAAGAGTCTCAAAGCTGACTGGTGAGTACTGCAAGGTGTGGGACTTCCAGTCCCTGTAGTTGCGAAGGCAGTGCACAATCACCTTGGCGTTGATGAAAGATGCTAGCCCCGGCTTGTTCAGTTCATCTGCAACTATTTGGCAAACACTGTCAGTATCCAGCATCCTGGTGCATCTTCCCAACCTCCGGCTTAACACACCCCATAGCTGGTCTCAGCTGAGCTACAAGAAGAACAATAATGTTTTCCAGTGGGGAAAACATTCTGACGTGACGATCAAATGGTTCTGGGCCTAGAAAAAGGAAAACAATGACAGTGAAAAGTGATCTGACCAATTGCCATGTTGCCGATGGCGTCGTGGGTGTGCGCCACTCGCAACATCATCATTAATATATACCTAGGGTTTGGAATTTAAGCTTGTTGCATCACAATCAAATCGATGATCACTTCCAAGAAAACCAACACATATTTGCGCAGGAGTTCCTAAGTGTTGGCTTCTCACTGGGTGCTTTTCCAAAAACCTGTTTAAGCCAATCAGGTTTTCTAGCCTTCAACAGTTTTAGCAACCGGCATCTCAATCAACACTAACACAAACAACCTTGTGCAAATGGGCCTGAACTTTTGATGGAGGGCCAAGGATGCGCAGAATGTAAGATTGTAACTGTTCTTGAGCTCCTTCACGGTGTTGTCCCCACAGAGCACTAACGTGTCTGGGGGACTGACACCTTTGAGAGAACACTCCTGCATGATATCTTCCACGGTCAAAGCGATGAGTTCCTGAATCATGCTGGAGCCAGCATAGGAGGTTTCCTCCAGGATTGCCACTCTCAGTACATGGCCATAGGCTCAACAAGCATGTAGCTTCAACTTTGGTCTTTGCCCTTTTGCTAGACGATGGGCGGTGCGGAGTTCTGGATCTCTCGGTATTTGGTACTTTGCCTATTGCAATCCAAGCTTTGATCCCACTTCATCAATGAAAGGACAAAAACCAACCAACCAATACCAAATTCTATAAAAGCTGCCAGCATGTTGCCATGTTGCTTGGTCTGCGCCGTCCGTGACTATAGTCACCGTCCTGGCAAATGCATCACTGCTAACGTCTCTGAGCGACCACAGGGCACAGCGGTCGGCGTATTGATCTATGAGATGTTGTCGGTACAGCCGCAAGGCGCCCAAACGTATAGACATGTCGATCTTCCTGTCGGAGAACCTTGATTGACACAATGGAACACTTATACTGTACACAGCATCCCGTTGTCAAACATATTTGGGGTATAGAACAAAACAGTGTTGTTACAAGTGTAGTTTATTGTGTATGCGTCCCGGAAAATAGAAAGTTCACCAAGAAACTGTGACTTCAACTCTTGACAAATATCGCACTGCGAAAAAGTAGTCTTGTCCCTGAACTTTAGGATCCTTGTCCATCGATCATTGAAGCGGCGCAAGAATGTAAGATACCTTAAATATTTGGTTTGTCATGATTGGTGGAACATATCAAACTTTCAAGCTCGTATCTTCTTGTTTGGCAAAGCCAATGAAGTAACAATGTTCTGATGTGCATTATAGGTGCGAAGCGCTTTCTTGCACTGCATGGGCCATGCACCACTCAAGATAAAATTGGTGGAGCTCCCACACAGTGCCGGGTGGCAAATATTTTCGAGCCAAACAGGACAGATCCTGACACAAACTTGAAGACTATTGAGAAAGGTGAAAAGATAGGAACTGACTGCTAACCTAGCCTAGCACACCCTGGGAAAACATACACTGCAACAAAGGCACACTAAAGCCTGCCGTCTTCGTCATATTGATCAGGAATGATGTGTTAGCTTCCAAAAAGCCAACCATCTCCTCCTCAATTTCCATATCGCTGTTTTGGACAACTCCGCCGTCCCACTGATCACTGCCAGAATCTGTATTGTTTTTGTCTCTCTGCTTGCTTCTCAATAGCTTCTGTTGGACAAACCTGTTCAATCAAAGCAGTGTGATGGGGACTCGAGAAACTTACAAGAGAAAAACAAAAGCATCTCAATCAATGACAATTATACAGATTAAAAACAACATCCCTGTGGGCAGAACGTGCCATGGTTTAGGTGAATAGTTCGATGGAACATTGTAACAAACAGTAAATGTCAACATCTTTCATGGACAATGACTCAGCAACTTGTTGGGCAATGGTTCCGCGATGCTGTTGTAGAGAACAAGCAAGAAAGAATCTACGCTTGCAGTCAAT